ATTTTGCCACCCTTACTGCCACAAGATAGGCTCTAATCATGGCTCTAGCTCATGTGCAATCGTCCTCGCTCTTAGTTGTTTGCCAGTGGCACTCTAGATGTCTCTTAGCCCTCTTGAGCTCCCTTAGCTCTTTCATATACCATGGAGAGTTCCGAGAGCAATGGGTGCAGAGAGGCCATTCGGGCACAACCCGGTCCAAAGCCGCAACTGCTCTCCCATTCCAGGCAGCTACCAACGCTTCGGCCAGCCTGTGTAGCAGACCTTCCAGAACAACCCCAAGCTTTCTCTGGACCCCAAATGGGTCCATCAGTCATCTGGGGTGGGCCAATCTAACAGGCCCAGCCTTCCTGAAGAGGGAGTTGGTGCCAAAGAACTGGAGGCTCACCAGGGAGTGATCTAACCATGACAGGGGAGAAACCAGTATCTCCCCTAATTCCAGAACACCCTGCCACTGCTCTGACAGAAAAAAACAAGTCAGGCTTATGACCACTATTATGTGTCAGGTCCTGGATGACTTGGGACAGACCCATGGCTGTCTTGTTGGCCATGAACTCCTGAGCTACATCAGACCCCACACCCAGAGAAGGCAAGTTGAAGTCCCCCAAGACCATAAACCTTGGGAAATCCACTGCTAACCCGGCCACAGAGTCAAGAAGCTCAGCCAGGGAGACTGCTAGGCAGCAGGGAGACTGGTACAATAGGAACAGTCCCAACTGATCCCTCTTAGAGCCCAACTTAACAAATAGGGTCTTGCACCCACCAATCTAAGGAGCAGTGCCCCTGGATGCCTCCCAAGTGTTTCGGATGACCATCGCCACACCACCGCCCCTACCCTGGGGTCTTGGCTGGTGTCACACCCAGAACCTAGCTGGGCATATCTCAGAAAGGGGACCTCCCCCCTCCTGTCCCAGTCAGGTCTCAGTAATGCCCACCAGGTCAGCCTTTTCATTGACAATCAAGTCATGGATGAGGATGGCCTTATTGAACATTGACCTGGCATTCAGTAGCAGTAGCTGACAACCCTGAAGGTCTGCCATCTGGGCCCCGGGAATGAGCTTGAGGGGCTGGAACGTGCCACAGCAATATACCTGTGGCACAGTCTCTGTGTGTAGCCCTCCCCATCTCCCGTCATATCTCCCCCTACTCATCACTACTGGGATGCTATAGCCTGCTCCCATTCCTTCAGAGCCTTCCCCCCTCCCGTCCATGAAGGTGCATGCCCAAGCCCATACCTCCCGCCTTACTCACATAGCCAGCAATCAATCAACAGGAGCCCCCTAAAACCAGAGGCACTTCTGCATAGCAGTCAGTGCCTCCAGCTAATCAGGCACCCATCTCACTTCCATATACCACCACAAACACAATGTCTTCAGCCAGTCTCCTCTCACTGAACTGGTTAGGCAGTTCACATGACTGAGGTAAGGGAGTAAGCACCAGGTGCCTCAAGCGATTCTGTCCCAAGCTACCAAAAGGCCTAGCAAGGGATATAAATCAATCCAGATTGGTTCAATTGGAAACAACCCAAGAAGACTCCTCCACCATCTAGTCTAAAACATTAGACCTCTAGCCATCTACAACATACTAAAATCCTCCAAACAGCAGCACCTGTTCCATACAAGCATTCCAACTCAGCGCCATGATGAAATTTTTTTTTAGAACTTTTATGTACTGTATTCTAAAACACTATTCTCAAATGATCCACAAACTGGCCAGATGGTAACTGTCCCCTTGTATGAGTAATCGAACCTTTCAAATTCTATACACGTTGATGAAATATGTTGATATGAATAATTCACACAAGTAATGGCTGTAATAGGCAAGAATCACAAACCTCCTAGGATAGTAATGAAAAACTGTGGGGGTGCAGATTTGTGAGAATCTACAAATATATGTTTATGGCAGAGAGACTGAGGAAGCAGATGATTGTTCCCAAGTAGGAAACCACTAAATACCCATCACTCTATACCAATTTCATTTTTAATTAGCAAGCTGTATTTTTTCTACATTATTCATGAATTTGCTTTGAAGGGGAGAATATGAGGACAATTATACAGTAGTGCTTAAAACTTTGTGAACCCTTTTGAATTTTCAATATTTCTGCATAAATATGAACTAAAACACGATCTGTTTTCCACACAAGTCCTAAACCAGATAAAGAGACCCCAGTTATAACAAATGAGGCAAAAGCATTATACCCGTTCATTTATTTATTGAGGAAAACGATCGAAAGCTATATATCTGTGTGTGGCAAAAGTATGTGAACCTTAGGATAATCAGTTCATTTGAAGGAGAAAGAGTCAGGTGTTTCAGTGAATGGGATGATAATCAGGCATGAGTGTGGGAGGCCCTGTCTTATTTAAAGAACAGCATTCTGAGTATTCACTATCAAAGTCTGATCTGTAATACCACATGGGTATGTGGAAGCATGTCATGACTCAAACAGAGGAGATTTCTGAGGACCTCTGAAAAATAGTGGTTGATGCTCATCAGGCTGGAAAAGGTTGCAAAACTATTTCCAAAGAGTTTAGATTCCATCAGTCCACAGTCAGGCAGACTGTATACAAATGGAGGCAATTCAACACCATTGTTACCCTCCCCAGGAGTGGTCAACTAACCAAGATCACACCAAGAGCAAGGTGTTTAATACTCGGGGAGATCTCAAAGAACCCCAGGGTAACGTCTAAGGAACCAAAGGCCTCTCTTGCACTGGCGAATGTGAGCGTTCATGAGGCCACCATCAGGAGAACACTGATCAACAATGGTGTGTATGGCAGGGTTGCAAAGAGAAAGCCATTATTCTCCAAAAAGAACATTGCTGCCTATCTAAGGTTTGCAAAAGACCACATGGACAAGCCAGAAAGATCTGTGGATGGATGAGACCAAAATAGAACTTTTTGGCTTCAATGAAAAGTGTTATGTTTGGCGAAAGGTAAACACTGCATTCTAGCATGAGAACCTTATCCCATCTGTGAAACATGGATCATGGTTTGGGCCTGCTTTGCTGCCTCTGGACCAGGATGGCTTGCCATCATGAATTTTGAATTGTACCAGCAAATTCTACAGGAAAACGTCAGGATATCTGTCCATGAACTGAAGCTCAAGAGAAAGTAGGTCATGCAGCAAGAAAATGACTCAAAACACAAAAGTTATACAACGAAATAATGGTTAAAGCAGAAAAAAGTTAATGTTTTGGAATGGCTAAGTCAAAGTCCTGACCTTCATGCTACAGAAATGTTGTGGAAGGACCTGAAGTGGGCAGTTCACATAAGGAAGTCTACCAGCATCCCTTGAGTTGAAGCTGTTCTGTAAAGAGGAATGGGCTAAAATTCCTCCAAGCCAATGTGCTGGACTGATCAACAGTTATTGGAAAAGTTTAGTTGCAGTTATTGCTGCCCAAAGGGGGCACGTCAGTTATTAAAAGCAAAAGTTCACATACTTTTGCCACACCAAATATGTACCTTGGATCATTTTCCTCAATAAATAAATGAACAAGTATAATGTTTTTGATTCATTTGTTTAATTGGGTTCTCTTTGTCCAGTTTTAGGACTTGTGTGGAGAACAGATAATGTTTTAGCTCATATTTATGCAGAAATATTGAAAACTCAAAAGGGTTCATAAGCACCACTATAGCATCATGGTTGGTAGGCGAACTATAAACACTTTGAAAGAATATACTTACAAATTCCCCAATAAAGAACTGATAAAGTAAGGTTTTAAGTCACAAAGCTATCTTCAGCTAGATAGACTTAAAACCCATGCACAACCCTTAGCAATCAATGTGCAGAAGTTGCTTAGAAGTATGCATGCTTTTGCTCATAATCATTGGAGGCACCAGATGAGAAGATATATATCAGCTGCAACTGATTATCTAAGATTGTTTTCTTATATTACGATGACAATATTTCTCCAATATTTCTGCTAGTAAAATCCTCTAAACAATGCATTAAATTACTAATGCAGGTTAAAACAGCTATATAAACATTTCAGTTTTAAGAAAACAATCAATTCCTGACAACCTTTATGGTTCATCAGATCCTAGTATCTATACAGAAAATAATAAAATAGAAAACACTGTATTTTAAGGAGAACTCAACTCCTGTTGATTTCATTGACACATTCATATTGTCTTCTTTCACTGCCTTTTTGAGAAACATTTCTGTCTTAGTGCAGCCCACAGCCTTAGGATTTCTCCAGCCCAAGTACTAACTGGGTCTGATTCCACTCAGCTTTTTCAGATCAACCAGGACAGTTAAGTGCTGCCACCTAGCTGAGCCTCACTAGGTTATTTTTAAACAGCAGAATTAAAGCTGCAAATCAAAAGATAAAGTTGAACGGAGAACTGAATACATATTACCCAAATATGATTATTTTGATAATTGAGTGCATATTCAATCCTACGCATAACATTTTCTTAGCATTAATTCCTTGCAAATAAGGATATTCAAGATATTTGAATACCTTGCCCGCCACATGTTCTAACTATGCTTTAGAGTTAGCATAGTTAGAACATGTGGCGGACAAGGTATTCAAATTTACATATTTACATTTGCACAACTGGTTTAAATTACCAAAAATGGACTCTATCCTGATAGCACATAATTGCAGACAGTATTTACTCAGTTGTAAGGCCAAAATCCAAGCCTGATTTATAATAAAAAATATAAAGAATAATATTCCTAGTTTTAATATGCAAAGACTATATAGAACTCAGAGAGTATTATTGTGCTAACATTATTTCCTTAAACATTAGAAATGTCCAGTTATTATTTCTAATTTTAATATATAATGTATTACTCATATTTTTCTATATTTACATAATGCAAATGCACCATCAGCTTTTAAAATAATGAGCAAGGATAATAAAAAGCTGTCAAGCTTAATCGGCAACTCCTAACAATTAAAAAACGGTTCAGTACTTACCATAATGTGATTGAAATGCCTGTGGTTTTACGACCTGATTACAGTGGTTACACATCACCAAATAGAAATCATCATGAGCCGGGCAAAGACCAAATATTGGCATATCTAAAATAAAAAGGACAAAAAGTATATCTCGCTGCTAATCAGAATCAGTGTACAATATATGTAAAAGAAACATTTGATGTCACCATCACTGAAACCCTGATATCATATTTCAAAAGCAGCAGGTGGAAGAGGCCCAAAGGGGGAAAACAAACATGCAGTTATTTATCTATTTATATTTATAAAAGTATTTTGAGTCACCTTTCTCCTCAGAAAAAGCTTCCTAAGGTAATTTACAACTTAAAACACAATAATTTAAAGGGATAAAACACTGCATACAGGACAGTTAGGAATAAGGGGGAAAAAATGAAAAAGCCAAGATTGGAGATAAAATGTTCAAAATAATTTGAAAATTATTCAGGAGAACCACAAAAAAATGTTAACCGTCTTCCTAAAACAAAACATGAGTATGCCACATTAATGTGTTCCTTCTAACATGGTTTTCCCCAGTTTGGTGCCAGGAAGCTTCTATCCCAGTTCTCTTTACTCACTTTCTCTGAATGGTGAGAAATACAGAAGGACCTCCAAAGAAGATGATCAGCTAAGTGAGATTCATATGATATAAGACATTCTTGCACTTTTACAAAAATCTGTTATGTTGTCTTCTTCAGAATAAATATTTATTATTATTTTACCATTATTCACATATAGCTGAATAAGGAACACATTTATATTATGTTAAGCAGAACACTGTTAAACCTGGGCAGAATAATTAGTAATTAGTACAAAAATAACATACTGAAGCTGTATTGAGAGTTGACCAGTTTGCTTGTTCTCAAGCTTGCACAAATGTAGGGAAATAATTATATCAATCTATAATGTAAAACAGCTGTATGTAACAATGGATATTGTGGGCTTGCTTCCTAGCACAAACAGGAGAATTAGCTTTTAATTTTATTGAACAGCATATTATAACTAAACCATCTAAAGTCCCAGAAGTATAATTCTTACTAGAGAAAGTGAGAAAAAACTGAACAGGAAACTTAAATGTACATTGCAGGGTGCATAAATAAACACTCCATACTTCACTAACATAGTATTTAGTATTTTAAAATGAGATTTTATTTAAAAATGTTATAAACTGTTTCTCATATGACTGAGGTAATATGCTTTGTAAAATCTTCAGAATAAAGATCCCAAACCACATTCTACAAAAGGGATTCTTAAGCTTTTTGTGCCTTGAACCCCTTTGAGAGTCTGGCAAAAACTATAGACCCCTTTCTCAGAAAAATATAATTAAATGTATACAATATATACAATGTATTTAATATATAATATTAAAAGATACCAATTATGCTCAAATACAGTTATCAAAATATTAAAAAATAACAAATATGTAAAATAGTAATGAACATGCTTCTTTATTAACAAGATAAGGTACATTTCAGTTAGAGGTTAGTGAAACACAGTATGTCTTTGGTTTTATTCTATTTTTACTCTATTTTTATACTGTTTTTACTGTATTTTAATTAATATTTATTGTCGTCTTATTGTGAACTGCCCAGAGTCATTTCTTTGTGAGATGGGCGGTATCTAAATTTGAAATATAAACAAACAAACAAACAAACTTCCTGAAATCTATCCGCTGACACCCACCAGGTCCATGGACCCCAGGTTAAGAACCCCTGCTCTACAAAGTTTACAACTAAGATATATTAGAAATTACTAACAAATTGTTATAGTTTAGGTCTCAGTATTTGGATGGGGGCCTACCTCGGAAGCCATGATTGGTGGCTAGACTGGGAAGTCAATTAAAAAAAAATTTGGAAGAAAGCAGTGGCAGACTATTTCTGTAACTCTGCCAAGAAAACTACACAGATACAGTCATCAGGAGATTAGCTCAACCTGAGAGTATCTTTTTATATGTTGTGGCTCAGTAAAGGGTCAAATATTTGGAACATCACTGCACGGTACTATATAGGAATACCAAGCAGTTATATAGGAATAGAATCCCAATTGGCAGACTGTAAAAACATAATGTTTCTTGAGATTTTTCAACAACTTCTATATCCTGAATCTCACACATGGAATAAAATGGGACTTTTCCCTATTAGAACCCTATAGCCTAATTCCTTATAGCTATCTCCTAATATTTTAAAATAATATAGTTTTATATTTCCACATAAAGTTGGATGTTAGCAAGTTTTGGAACACACTAAACACAGATTTTCTGTTACCAATGTAGGAGAACATCTTCTGAACTATCTACATATTAATTCCATGTCCATGCATAATGCCAAACTAAATAATTAAAAAGAGGGAAAAATAAATCCTGGCATCTAAAATACTAATTCTTAGAGAATAATAATAAAGTAGCTACTAAAATATTTTATAGATGTGACTGGGCAAATCCAAGTGAAGTCCCAATATTATTATTATTTTATTATACCTCAACTTTGTACCCAGAGAACCCTCAAGACAGCTTTGACAGTATTTTGTAGTAGATACCCAGCTCATTTTCAAAAGACCCAGTTACTGAAGGGAATTCAATGGGGTACAGTATTGCAATCTTATGCCTGTAAAACAGAAGGCAATCACATTCTAAGATCTGGTTCAGATGTGATAGGAAATTATGTCATCCTGATATGTGAATACAATGTCCACTTCTGATTTTCACAAAAAGCAGTCCTTTGCTTAAATGCTTTAATTTTAGGATTCTTTGAACATTAATTAACTAACAAGCCAGTACCTGAAAATAACATTCAGGGCTAGTTTGTTTTTAAACTAAGCCAATCACAATTTGGAATTTATAGTTCTCTGAATTTCAGTTTATTTAAATTTATTTATTTATTTATTTATTTAAACAACACACACACACACACACACTTTGAATACTTTGAATCTCTTTACCAGTGCATTAAAGGAGACAAGAGGTGGAAGCATATGAGAGGTAGTTCATTCCTGCAGTTGAAAATAATGCAGTCTATCATATCTATTTCAAATTTTCAAATAATGCAGTCTATCATATCTATTCCAAATTCATGCCAGTCAATTATTTATCATCTACTGACCACACTTTATTAATTAAATAGTTTTAAAGAGGTACACAATTAACAGCTAAATAATTTCATTTCTTTATTCAACGACTTTATATAGCATTCATAGTTTTGTAACTAATTTAGCATGGGTATAGCATGGAATCTAGAATTACTGTGGTCTGGACAAAAAACAAACAGAACACAGAAGCATGTCAGAGGGATGTACTTTTCCTATCTATTTAGTTGGTATTTCCCTACTTGGCAATAATTATATCAATAATGAATATACTTCATTAACTTTAGTTCAAGTTACAACCAGGAATGTATGAAATTTTTCATGCTGGAAACAAAGCACTTCAAATTTGAAACATTTCCCACGTGCCTAGCTACTACCAATTATATTTGTTTCACAAAACATGATACTGTGAATGAGCTATTAAATGCTTGTTATTTTAAAAAATCTAGGGATGGTGGTAAAACATTTTGGAAGCAGTTTGCTTACTTGGTAAGGAAAATAAAGGCTGCATGACTTGATATTTCCTTAAAATTTTAACTTTAATCCTTCCACTATAACAATTTACTGAACATAATTTGTCAATGTTTGTTTATTTTAATATGTCAACAAATATATTTATACTAACTCTTTTTGTTCTCAGGATCAATTTTTTACTTTGATGACATACTGTCATCAAAGGAAATTGTTTGAATGAAAACCACATTTCTTTCTGTGACTTCTATATCCCTTGTAGAAACCTAATATTAAGTCTCAGAAGAGATTACTGAGTTAGCTGTGAGAAATAATATATTTTACAATACTAAGAAAGTCTGCTAATACTAAATTTACTGAGAAAGCACAGAATTATAAAAAAATAATTCAATCCAGTAAGAGGATACAAGAAAAAAATTAACACAATTAAAATTATTGCAGTGCAATTGATTAGAGTTATTATTCTGGTTCTAACAATCAGAAGTAATGTACCCTCCATTTTTCACGCTACCAAAGTAATTATTTTCAAAAGATGACACTGCGTATCTTCTGACCTAGTTTATCAACACCGGTCCAAACAAAGCTTCTGGTTTATGTTAGTATTATGAATATGCAAAACATTTCAAATTTGAATTCTCTTGAACTTAAAATATCCTGTATTGAGTTTGAAATGCTGTTTTGAGCGTATCCTGCCTCGAATTTAAAATTGATTTTTTTGAGCAATCTGGAAGTATTCTGAACCAGAAACAGCTTTAAGTGCAAAACACTGCCGCAAGCTTTAAACAGTACCACAATAATTGAAATTGCTGGCTTTGTGCTCAAAACAGAATTCCTGATAGATCATTTTAGAAATGTTTTGTACACCTTTAGTCAATGCCAATTTGCCTATAATGCAAAAATGAGCTTTGGCAGTTCCATCTTCTTATACCTGCAGCGGCCCATTTGATTTTACTATCACGCCAGAAGTAATTCTCTAGTTGCCTTTAACTTTTATATATAACATTTATATTATATAGATTTACAGATTTATATTTAAATGTATTCATGTATAATATATTTTGTATTATGTATTTATATTTATATATTATGTTATTTACATTAAATATTTATATCAAACATATTTAATATTATATATTTACATTTATGTATAATATATTTAAAACACATTTGAAATAAATATTGTCAAGGTGTTTAAATTTTTAAAAGTTGAATCTTTTTGTCTGTTTCTACCTATAACATGTACATATAAGGGGCAGTAAAAGTGCTCCCTCTTCTCAGCTGTTATTGTTTTGCCTTAAGGTAAAATTAAACTTAGCAGTTTTAGCACTTGCTAAAGTACAAGATAATGGAGAGAGAAGGAGATTAAAAGGAGATTTTTAAAAAGGAGATGGGATTGAAGAAAAATGTATTTGTTCTACACATATCAACTTCCAGCTTTGATGATACCCACATCCATATGAAGCCCATTCAGAAATGCTATCCATCCACGTCTAACAAAAGCTACATTGACACAAGTAACATATCCCAAAAGATCCTGT